CTATTACCAAGAGAAATTAGTTTTTAAAATTTAAATTTGCAAATGATAAGATACAGATATATGTAAAGCTGTTTCTCTTCTGCCATGCACGTTCTCTAAAGCCTGAATTGAAGCAATAAATATCTGTACATTCCTCTAAGAACTCATTGAGATGCCAGTCTCTGACCTGCCCGGGATGAGGACGCAGTTCCCAACAGCTCATAGACCTAGTATTTTAGGAGTTGCATTGCACCATCCATCTGTCCATCCCTCCATCCATCTATCTAACTACCCATCCATTCCTCCATCCATTTAACAAATATCTTTGAACTCCAACTGGGTTCCAGACACTGTGTCAGGTGCTGGAGCCTCAGTAGTGTAACGAGACAGATAAAGTCCTTACTGAAGCCACTACTGTTCTCTCTCTCACACATAGTCTTCCTCACGCACTCACATGCCATAAATAAAACCAAACAGAAACAGATAAAATTCTAAAACAGCTATTTTAAATAAGGCTTACAATGTTTCTTATTTAAGTGTTACAACAGCTTAGGTAAATACTGTTATCCTCATTATAAAAATAAAGGAAGTGAGCCTTTGAGACTTTAATCTTCCATAGGCAATAAGTGATTAATGACAGAAATGGGATGAAAATCAACTTTTATTTACTGCAAGTTTTATGCTCTTAACTCCTACCTTCTCTCTCTCTCTCTCTCTCTCTCTCTCTCTCTCTCTCTCTCTCTCTCTCTCTCTCTCTTTCACACACACACACACACACACACATCACCTTACATTACAGATAGAACTTAAAAGTGTTCTTGTTACTCCTATATTAGTTCCCGGTACAAGAACCTGAGCCACTGTGTATTCACTGAAGTGCAGCCTTCTTAATTCTCAGTTCTTGCCAGCACTGGGCCCTGCCCTTAATCCGCTCTGCTTGGCCTGTACAGTCTTCCTACCCTTGCGGGGCCCCCTCTTTGGGGTCCTGACCCATCCAGGGGCCCCCTGTGACTGCCTTAGGTCCTGCTCTAAACTGATCGCACAGAGGAGCAGAAGTGTGAATTCTGTGAGACTAGTGTTCTCAAACACTCCCATTTGTATTACGCTCTCCTGCGAGTCAGGTGCCCTTCAGGGAATGACTTCCCTTGAACAAAATGTATTTGGAACCATCCAAATTTAAAATGAGTTGAATGAGTTTGATAAAAATTTATGGACATGTTGGAACAGAGAATATTTGATATTTAATGGCCACAATATTTTCCCTGGGATTCCAGGCTCATCTACCTGAGAATGATTTCAATACAAGAGAGATCTGATTCCCTGTTTACGGCGCAAAGCCAACTCTAACCTGACTAAAATTAGCTTTTAAGTCACTGGGTTTTATGCTGCTTCAGTGCATGTGTTCCCCTGTGACCACACCATCAGACTCACTCTTACTCCTGCTGATTACCTGTGATTATCTACCTGGTGACGTTGTCAAGTGGCTGGACCTACTAAACACCTTCACACCTAGAGTAATTCATTAACTCGCTAGTCAGTCCCTCAATCCTGGATTTTATGCCTATACTGGTTTATCTCCTTCTGTTCAATTGGAGTGGAATCATCCCAGAAGTATAAGCTGTTCTCCCAGGTGTGACTTGTGCATCTCATTTAGGATTCTGATTTTATGGCAGGCCCAGACAAGTCCAAAATTAATTTCATGGCAGGAGAATTGCTGTATTTACTATTAAGATAGATTTTCCACTTCATGCAGCACTCCAAGTGACTTTGTCTTGCAAACAATTGAAAGTCAATGTTGAACAAAATGAACATTATGGCTCTCCCACCTCTCCTCTGCTTTATTTTTTGGATGTTTTGCTAAATTGTGCACCACTCAGGTAAGGTGCAGAGCTCCTGGAGCAAAAGCGTCCTGCTTCCTCAGAAAAGTTCTCTGGTTCTCTGAATTGTCTCTTCCATCAATGCTGGTTTCTAATGTGGACATACCTTGTTTTTCCTGCTACATATATGGGACAAGAGTTGGCATTGTTGTTCTTAAATACCATTTTCCCCCAATAACAAGCACATGTGAGCCCATAATAGTAACTCTTTTAATATTACCTGAATTGGTGAGATGTGGATTCATGTTACTAATAGATACACAAAGAAAGAAACATGATTTTAGGTATTGAACAAGCCATTAGAGTTTTTCTTGGCTGAAGTAAAATTTTATAAAAGATAATAGTTAATGCCTATTGAGCGTTATGTCAGAATGACTATTCTAAGTTGTTTATAAGTATTAACTTATTTTATTCTTAAAATAACCCTGTAGGCAGGTACTATTAATATTATCATTCCTATTTCCAGATGAGGAGACAGAAGCACAGAGAAATTAACTGGCCTGAGACCACATAGCCCACAAATGTGACTTGAACTCAGTTCTCCTGAATACTGAAGGGGGCTTTAAAATCTGTGTTTCCCATTTATTTAGGTTTTAGTTCAATAACTACTATTCTTTTGTCCCTTGGGCCTCATTTTTTGGCTATTAAGATTCTCAAAAATATGCAAGAATCCTTCACTATCTTTTCTTTTGTAGGTAGATATTAATGACTAATAGTAAACATTTGGAAAAAGGAAATAGTGTTTCAGTTCAAACTTTAAAAAAAAGCCTCATTGCCCTGCAATTAACATGAGTAAAACACATCATGGCTTTTAATTTCATAGTCATTTTTGTAATTATTTCACTGCCATTTAGTGGATTACATGAAATTTTAAAATATTTTGCTGCCATCTAGTGACCTCAATGAAAATAACATGCAAACATGATTTTGCCTTCTCATTTGCATTTTAAGCCTTTAAGTATAGCACTACCTTATGGGTAGTTTTTAAAAATCATTCAACTTCATACATTAAATCTGAAATTTTAAAAATCTGACATTCACGGTTATCATTCTTTTTTTATTATCTCTTCTCATTCATTCTTCCTCTGCTAACAATGTATTTTACTCATATCCAGAGTGCTTTAATATCGAATAAGAAGATATTAGAAGAGAAACTGGAACCTAATTAATTTTCTTTATGTGCGGTCTTTGATGTGGTTTATACCATATGTATTTCTTTTAGAATTTTATTTATGCCAATTCTTACTTTAATAATTGGCATATTAATTTTTAACATGCCCAAGCTTATTTATAGCTGATCGATTTCAACCATATTCATTTAATTATATAAATGATTGCATTTAGACATTGAAAGCTTCAGTTTTGCATGTTCTATGTAGCATCCTTCCCATTCATCTACATAAATATTTACTGATTATATATTTTAAAGAATTTTCAATCAGTACTCCTGAAGTTATTTGCCTTTTCATAAATATATGCTGTCTGCCCATCCAAAGGGCCAGGATTATAATATATTGGCAGCCTCAAAACCTAACATATGGTCAGTAAATTCTTGTTGATGCTGCCCCATTCATAGGCTTTTAGAATATGATCATGTGAATATTATGAAATACTAGTTCAAATTAGTTTCTACCCTATTTTAAAATTTTTAAATAGCTGAAATGATTATACCCTAAAAAACAATAGTTGGAAGATGCTGAAACTTTTTCACACAGCAGCTCCTGGCCATGCCACTTTGTACACTGTGTATGCCGGAAGAGCAATTATTTGGGGGCCTATGCATGATCAGGGAATGGATCCCTTGGCTGAATAAGGACACAGTATGTCCTCAGTATTCTAATGGACAGTTATAATAACACAACACTTTGAGCACAGGGAGAAGAAGGGAGGAAATTTTAAGTTGGATGATAATTGTGAGCACTGGCAATGACTCAGACATGGGGTGGCAATATTCCACTAGAAATCTCCCATCTGAAGCTAAAGAGATCATTTTCCAAGGAGATCTAAACTAACTAAGATGAGCAATATTAATAGTAGCAGTATTAATATTAACCATGTAATGAGTTGTTCAAGAAGGTGAGTATTTTTTCTGGATTCATCTATGCTCGTGACATCATTTATTCACCAAATATTTATTGAGTGCTTATGGGCCAGACACAGAATTAGGCAATAAAGTGAATGTCAGCATGCAAGACTCATATCTGTGCTCTCATGGAGCTTATGGTCTATGGAGACATCTCCTTTGATCAGGCATTTTCCATCCAAACAGTTCCAGCCTTCTTCTACTGAAATAAGGACCATCTGTAGCTGGGATGAAATCCTATATTCCTCTCCCACATAGAGTGAATACTGGATATGTTTTTTACAATGCTCTAAGCATTACTAAGAACCCTGAGAGAATCAGCTGTGTTCTACCACTAATGATGAAAGCTCCACACCTTCTAATTTCAAGGGATTTAATTAACACATCCAATTCATACTGACCAACCTGGTTTTACTTCACCCAAGTGGTAATCTATTAAATAACTTTAGCCGCACAGGACTCTGTCACATGACTTGATTTCCGGCATCTCAGGACTCTCCTGATCCAATACCATATTCATTCCTTAGGATAATGAACTCACTGCTATCATTTTCTAAAGTAGGTTAACATATTAGCCAGTGAAGCAATTAAAGATGTATCAAAACCACTAACTGCAAAATTAGACTTTATGTTTAAAAATATTAAATGCCTTAAAGGAATAAATATACAGACTTTTGCAGTAGTTAGCCCCGAATCATTCCGAGGCACATTAAATACAAATGAGGACTTAAAAGCTATAGTCTGGCTTGATTTCATGCCCCTAAGTAGACCCCACTGCACTAATCTAAACCCCCGAATCCTAAACTGACTTTGAGGCTGCTGGAAACTATTTCACACTCTCAGACGTATGGCCACACACTCCTCTTCTTGTCTGCAATTTCCTCACAAGGCTCTCACTAATTGCGTTAGCTCCTCCTTGAGGAATGTAGGATCCAAACTCAGAACCTGAATCCTTTATGACTCTAAAACAAACTTACAGAGTTTGCCTTTCTCAGTTACACTCCATTTTTATCATTTATAAAGCTTCTTCATTAAAAAAAACACAACACCAACACTTTGCGTTCACGTCTTTATTGGTTTTGGTGATCAGTACAACTGCTTTTGCTTCAAGTGTCATCATTCATTCCTTTGAGTTCTAGGAATCATTCATTCCTGCCTCAAATTAGAAAGATATCAGAGACAGTCTTATTTTAATAGTCATGCAAAGATAAAAGTAGTGAAATTAAAAATAAACGGCCCTCTTTCAGGTAAAGAAAAATACTCGGATAAAGTCAACCACTTTTGTGGAGAAGAAATTCAAATGCTGTATCAAAATTTTGAAAACTGCTGGTTTTATTGTGTTTTCTTTTCCTTTCAAAAGCAAGTAATCCTACCTAAAACCAAGTAACCCTAGCTCAAATTTCAATAAATGATGGACTTCTTGGTGTTATTTAAGAGTTAAAACACATTATCATCTCAATTCTTGGAGTCCATAGCCATTTGAATTTCTGGCTTATGTTTAATTGTTATATGATCTTCATAAAGCTCTATTACATACAGAATTGCTCATTACTTCTTTAGATGGACAACTAATAATGTGAAAATAGGAAAACCGAAGTTCTATGAAATTTAAGATGACAGGAAAATGGTGTCCAATAGCCATTTTCCTGTATCTCTACCTTTCCATCTCTGTTTCTTCTTTGAAACCTTATTATACTACTTTTATAGGAAAGATGATTATTACAAAGGTCAAACGTGAAATTTATACTTTCATATTAGATCTTGTCAAAAGTAACTTTGGTTTCTTGGTGACTGCATCTCTCACATTCATTGCTCAGCGTAGAAAATGAAATCTACTTGGAGTAAGGAGCACCAGAAGGAGGCAAGGAACCAAGCTCTGCAATGGCAGGCTTCCTTTCCTGAAGAGGGCATGATCCAGAGGCTTCATTTGAAGGAGGCTCTCACCACCCTCCCCTTGACAGGCTGTGGAGGGCGCCAGTTTCTCACAAGGGGCACCGGGGGCTCGTTCTCGGCACTGGAGAGGAGGCTCCGTAGCTTGGCTATCTGCAAAGGGCAGGCAGGGGCGGGTTGTTAGCAAGACCTTTGGACCAAGTGGACACACTAGGCAACAAAGAGTTAGAAATCACTGGCTTTTTAAACAAAACAAGCAAACACAAAACCTGTCTGCAGTGTTCAGTTCAGAGTTATTTAGCTACCCATTCCTCAGTAATACAAATTTTTTCTTTCTTTGTAAAAGCTCTTTTCTTCATTTTTATATAGGATCGTCATGCCCTCTGGTCAAAACTTTTTTCTCCTGAATTCTGAAAGAATTATTTGGATTTGTGGGGTCAATGTAAAGTATACACTTTATGTAGAAGGGAATGACAATATTAACAGTGTAAATAAATTTAATAGGCTTTCATTTATAAGTTTATGGAATTCATTATTTTAAAAGAGCAGAAAGAAATGAAACTCATGCTACATTTTAAATTCTAAACGGACCTTTTTTCTTAGAGTAAGAAAATTCTCATCAATAACACTACTTTTCTACGTTATATTTTTAGCATTTCTCCTTGAGAAAATGTCATTCTTTCAAAATATTTATACCAATAAACAAGATTGTTAGATCTGATCTTTTGATAAAAATGCCTATATATACTTGGGTCCACAACTGGCAGAAATATGAAAGCTGCTGTCTTCAGCAAGGGAGACATCCTGGTAAGTGGATTTTACTATTGAGCAGACATTCGTGTTCCAGGTTGTGAGTCCCTGTGTTGTTCAATTGTTTTAATTGTTCTTGTCCATGTTGTTCCCACTTATTTTCTCCCAAACAGCTTTTCCTTGGAAGTGTTTTTAATAAACACTTCTAGGACAGATGGACCGTAAGAGGGAGGCCTGAGAAGAAAGGCCAAGAAGTATTGGAAGCAAACAGACTGACCAGAACTGGGATTCAGATTCTACACTTGGCTGTGTGTTCATGGGCAAATTATTTAACCTTTCTGAGCCTCAATTTCTTTATCTGTAAAAAACTGGAGAAATAATATACAGTTCGCAAGGATGTTAATGCCTTCCATTAGCATCCTCCCCAGGCCTGTATTTACTAGCCCATCTCCTTACCAGTGCTCGGTATTTGGGGGATGTTCAAATTAACAAAGATTCACTCATATTAAACTAAATCTTTAAGTGTTTATGGAACATAAACTCAGTCGTGTGTTCACTATCACAACCACTTTTAAATGATTTGCATTTATCCTGGTACTCTTTGGAAGCCAAGGTTTAGAATGTTGAACAGGCTGATTGTAACTAACCAAGGCAAACTATGAAATCTCTAGTCTAGAGTTGTTGGGTAGGCATCCATTTGGTAGCCATGTATTTACTATTTAGCATCTACAGCTGACGTAGCCAGACAGCAATCAACGTAAGTCGTGTGTTCGCAAGGCTCTGAGGCTGCCACTCACCTGGTCAGAGCTCACTGTGATGGGCTCCTTCAGCAGCAGCCACACGATGCACTCCTCGCAGGGCGGCGTGGTGAAGGAGCCTTGGTAGGTCCAGTAGTCCCGGCAGGCGGGGAACAGGCAGGACGGGTCGAAGTGCGTGAAGGGCGCATCCTTGCCCTGGGAGAAAGAGGGGCGCAGGCGCTGTGAGCGGGCCATGCACACGCTCACCCCAAGGCTCTCACCATTTTATTTGTGAGAATGGATTTCAAATGCAATAGAATAGAACTTTTAAACAAAGTACAGGCCTTTCAGAAATAAAGGCAAAGGGGGAAAGCAGGTTTGCCTGTTATGACTTTATCTGGCACAATCACGGTAATATTTTATTCCTTATTTTGTTTTTGTTTTTGTTTTTGTTTTGAGACAGAGGCTCGCTCTATCGCCCTGGGTAGAGTGTAGTGGCATCATCATAGCTCACAGCAACCTCCAACCCCTGGGCTCAAGCGATCCTCCTGCCTCGGCCTCCCAAGTAGCTGGGACTACAGGCACACGCCAGCATGCCCAACTAATTTTTCTATTTTTAGTAGAGACGGGATCTCTCTCTTGCTCAGGCTGGTCTCGAACTCCCGAGCTCAAGCTATCCTCCTGCCTCAGCCTCCCAGAGTGCTAGGATTACAGGCGGGAGCCCTGCTCCCCACCCCATTCCTTTTTGTTTTAACTGTTGGTAGAGTTATAATTCTGTCACTTCTCAAGAAAAAGGAAAAAACTGATACCTGAAATGTAACAGAATCATATCATATGTAAGTTAATGTTTTGGTTCTTGATGATAAAAAAAATCAGGCTGCATTTTAATTAAATGTAATACTTTCTTTATTGGTAAAACTTAATAGCATTTGATTAGAGCAGTCCCAAAAGACAATTAAAATGTGTCCGTTAATTAGAAGAGTCGACTGTTAAGATTTAAAATATAGGTGCTTTTGATAAAGGCAACACCAGGACTCAAAAGACTAACCCTGGCTGACATTTAATAGCTCCGTGATTGTGTGCATGCATCCATGTAGGGTGTGTGTGTATGTGTGTGTGTGTGTGTTGGTGGGAGGAAAGGGTGATCATTCAACTTCTCTGACTCTCACCCACTTCACTGAGAAAGTAATTATCTGACTGGCTGACTGTGACCCTTAACTAAAGCAATAAATGTGAAACTGCTCTAAAAACTATAAACCATACAAATATAGCAAATGCTGCTGTATTTTTTTATGTATGCTTCGCATATCCATCAAACTTAGCAACAGATTATAGGTGAAAAAATATACTTGAGAATGTGAAAAGAAAATGGCATGCTCTACTTTATGTGTTAGGAGGGACAATAACTTTTTTTTTTTACCTTTGTCTTAATTTTGTCCAATGCATCTAGGAAAATCTGGAATTCGCCTTTCTCACGTCCTATCTGTAAGAAAACAGAAATCCAAATATGATATTTTTTTCCTTCTCCATAATTTAGGATTGTCTTAAAAACTGATTTTGATCCAGTCATCTGCAACTAGTGTTTATAAATCTGCCAGAATATCTTGTACTAAGCAAAAACATGAGTTTATTTTCCACCTAGATTTTAGAGTATACATTTTCTGATCTAAATTTGGACTCCAGGCCTCAGAAGTACAGAACCACAAAATTACATGTTGATCTACTTCAATGTCCTTGACCTTCTCTACAGTCATTCCACTTTTTTTTTTTTAAACCAGAATGGACTCTATGTATGCCAAACTAAACTCATTGTCTTTCCTCTCAGAGCCGCTCTGCCTCCTGTTGTGCTGTGTTCAGGCACTGAAAATGACCCAATGAATTCAGAGCCTAAAACAAAGTAGGTCATTCAAAAAGAAAGAAGCCAGATTTTCACCTCTGGCTTAAAATCCAGATTATGTTACTACTAAATTCATGTGTTAATGACACTAAGTCCTCTTTAAACCAAGGCTGGCTCAACAACACACACATTCCATGTGCTATCTTAGCCTGGGATCATGTGAGCGGTGGCCACCTCAAGCCGAAGGGATGTCCAGCCAGGGACTTGGCATCACAGTGGTTCCCAACATTGGCTTTTCTGGTTTCCAGTGCAATTGAAATGGAGCGGTGAGAAAGGAAAATGAACACCCTTGCCTTCACCATTCACCGTAAAAAGCTCCCTTGAAGGCTCTTTTCCCAAACCCCTACACACACACACACACACACACACACACACACACACACACACACACATGCACACACATGCACACACATATACGTACCCCACATCTTGAGAAAATTTAGAAGTGCTAGAGGTACTGGAGTGGGGCAAAAAGTACACTTTTAGAGGAAAGCAAAACATTTCAAGCTGATCTTAGCAGAAACATCTTGATAGTTGAATGAGCAATAAAATGTAATAAAATAGCAAGGGAGGACAGCGAAAGGAGGGGAAGAAACTCACATTATCCTAAGCGTTGATAAGGAACTCAATTTTGAAAGAAAGCATTTGATCAATTTTTACCTTACCTTCAGAAATACGCCAACCACAGCGATTCCGTCAGGCTGCTTCAGAGCCTCTTTAAAAGTGTTATACTTTGGATTCCAGTGAACCAAATGAAGCTGAAACCACAGAAGACAGGTTAGGAGGTAAATTCTTGGAATAAGAAAATAAGTATAAAAATTATCCACAATAAACCCAATAATTGTACAATCTCTAGTTTCTAAACACCATAGAAGTTAATAAAATGTTAAATATTAATGTGCAATATGTTGGCAACATTCTTAACGGTTCAAATAAAAAGCGTATAAAAGTATCTACCTCCTTTTAGCATCCAGGGCTCTAGAACCTGGCAGCAGCCTTATCTTAATTTAGAACATGGGCACCAGTTAAGTTAATCAGATTTCGCATGCTGACTTACACAGAATGGCAAGAGAATATAATAGTTTGCGGCAGTCAAAAAAATAGTTTAATCAAGGTCAAAAGTGTGAGATAATCCCATGTGCAAAGGTCAAACTGAAAACCTTGCCTACATCTGTAAGAAATACGCCAAATTTTCCCCATTTGTGGCAGAAGATATCTAGGGGCATTCTCAATACTTAATTTATCCTGCCACTGGCTCTCAAGATTGGCGGTAGAGAAACAGAATGATCATAGTTAAGTATTTTGAGTTTCCAAGAGTTATATTAACCAAAAATTATGCTGACTAATGTTTCCACTTAAAAAAACTGCCCACAGTATGCTTCCAGGTTCCTGCCACAGCCTCTGTGTTAGCCAGAGCCTGCCCCTGAAAATGAGTGAGGTGAGAAAAATGAATTGATCCTCACATCCAGAACAACTGTCGCCATTTATAGGTTTGGCTTTTTAAACAGAGCATGTCAGAGGCCTGGTTTATTCCCTTGTAGTTTGATGCCTTAATCTGAGCTGCAAATCATGTTTTTTTTTAATGAGTTAACTGAGACAGAGAGTAGTATTTGTTCATATTAAATTGTATGTGTGTATCTGTATCTATCCATATACACACACACTCTTATACACACATACGCATATATAAATATATATGCACACCTTTAAGAGATTGGAACATGAGCATTAGTCAGAATTTCTAAATGCTATTTTTAAAGCACTACATTCTTATAAAAGAGGCAACATAGGGTGCTGGATAAGATGGTGAACTTTGAAGCCAATCTGCATAAGGTAGAGCACTCATCAGCTGTGTGACTTTGTTATGTGACTTTTTTGTGCCTCTGTTTCCTCATCTGTAACCTATCTCATAGGGTTGCTGAGAGGATTAAATGGGTTAATACATGTAAGCATTTAATGCGTGTTAGCTATCTTTCTCTTTCCCGTTTCGTTAAGGACCCTGGCCTTTTTCATATTAAGCAGCTATCCAATTTCTTAACCTCACCTTGCAAATCTTCATGCATGATGCTAACTCACCTATACCCTCATAACTGTCTAGCCTAGAATGTTTAGCAGCTTCAGTTTATGCTTAAGCTACTACAGCTCTTTTCACAACTATGGTCTTGAAGCAGAAGCAGCGAATGATGTTTTGTTGCTGCAGTTGTTACTTTTAATTTTTCAGTTTTCACTGAGTGAGACCCAGAGTGGATTACAGCACTTCTTCTTACCTCTGCTGCGTACTTGACTCCATCCACACTGTGCTCAGAGCCGTGATCATCCGAGGACCCCCAGTGGAGATGAAACTGGCGAAGTCGGTAGGGTCCAGGGAGAGGACCACCTCTCAGCACTGTGATTTGGAAAAGTTAGGTCAACAGTGAATGCACACTTCTTTTACAAAGCTCTACTTTAAAGAAGGGCTCATATAGCCAAGGCTTGATGACACACTAGACTCCACACAAAATGAAGTCTTGGGATATATCAAAATAAATGATCTTTCTTTTCTTTCATATTTTGTTTGCTTGTTGTATTATTTTTGAAATGTCACTTTTGACATTTATGAAAATAAAAAACAACAGATGGACAGTTAGGATGCATAGACACAAAAAATAGGTCAGTAGTGTAGCAAAGTGGGAAGAACTGGAGGACTGAGAGCCAGACAGATTAAGGTTCCAATCCTGGCTTCACCCCTTACTGGTTGTGTGAGCTCAGGCAAGTTGCTGAACTTCTCTGAACCCATTTTCACATCTCTAAGAAGGTGATAATAACACCAAACTTTCAGAGCTGCTGTGAGGATTAACTGAGATTAAGTACCTTAAATTTTTCATCACAGTGCCTGCTCATTGAGCAAATGTGAACTCCTTCTCCATGTCTTACTTCCAGCTACACTTTTCTTTAAGACAACAAGCAAGAACTTTCATCCATGTCTAATTTAGATCATATCTATTCAAATGAGATGAAATGGAAAATTCAGAACTTTCCCAGGAAATCAATCAATGTGGGAAGCTAAACTAGGTAATTCTCAGTAGCATTAATTTGGGCTTTTTAATTTTTTTTTTGCTTCCCCCACACCTGCCCCCATTTATTTGGACTTGTTGTATAAATATCTCAACCTATCACTTAATCTGGGTTTTAATTCATTCATGTTGGGGAGTGATTTAGATGTTCAAATATCTTCCAAAGGATATTGGAAACTCTGTAAAAACCCTAAAATCAAGATTTAGCAATATAAGTTAGATCAAAATAAAAATCAGAGCTTAGCTATTTTAGAAAGATTGGCCACACTACGTGACACAGGGAAAGCCATAATGTACACCTAAAATGATAATGCTAGGCCTGTATGAGCTTGGTCATATAGGAATGAAGTAGTTTGATTCATTGCATTTTTCCTATCCAAACCACTCAGAACAGTTATTATCTGGACATATGATTTCAACTTATTAGAATTAACCATATAAAATTGTCAATATTCAGGGATTTTGCTCATAAAAATGGTATTTCCATGTGATTCAACCTAATAGATATTATTTAATTTCATTATTTTGCTTTCAAAATGGAACTTGAAGAAAGGAGAAGAGGGAAAAAGGAAAAGATAACAACATGAAATCATCGTTTAAGAAAATGTAAACTTCTATCACTTGGAACCTCCTAGTAGGTAGGAATTATGACTCTATTAATACATATTATTACATCATTAAGAATGTTCATTTATGTATATCAGTGAGTATAATATTAATTTTATTAGAAAAGTGGTTATAAGAAATTATACATAAAATGCCAAAATATTAAAGGAATATTCTTTCTTACATCATTTATAGCGCAATAAATTATTTTTAATTAGCCTTCTTTTATTTTTCACTGATTTGTTTACTAGTGTAGGTGAAATAAAGAGATTTTTTTTAACATGTGATTTTCCAGTTTCACATACACACAAATACTACTCAAGAAGAAATTTTCAGATCCTTCAAAAACATTCACCAAAAGGATTAATCAGAACCCCACTGAAGTACTGAAGGCAAGTCATCTGGATTCATACAATGGCCCTATTCTCTCCCTTGGATTGGCCTCTTCCCAGGCACCAGGGGAATAAAGTGTCTGTTTTGATTTTTGGTTATATGTCTTGCTTTGTGGAATGGAATTTACACACTTCAGAGTGGAAGCCTTGCTCTCCCAACCACAGTCAAGAAGCCCAACAACTCTCATCTGTGAACCATCAGAGTCTGAATAATACTCACTTAGATTTATTACCATCATTGTCCTATCAAGCTCCATTTCAAACTTGCCAACTTTTAGCTTGGGCATGGGGCCATTTTGCAGCAACAAAGTGACCAAGGTTGGAGGGTGAGACATTCCTCTTCAATGCACAAATATAATTCTTCACAACTAAAGCAAAGCCAAATATCATCTCCATTTTCAGAGCTGAAGCTCTCCCTCTTCTCATAAATTCTGTTACTATGTCATAAATCACATTTTGCCAATATGGAGGTTGAAAACATCCATGTGTCTCTATCTGTGTATCATACTTACTTGACCTATCATAAGTATCATCAAACACAACTCTGCAGGTCTTCCCGTTGTTCAGGATGGTCTTGGCAGAGCCGCCGTCATAAGCTGCTGACCATGGCTGCAGAGAAGGGTCATACCTGATGTCTTTGGTATGCAGCTCAATGGGTGACTGTTTGTCCCCTTTGGCATTTGGGTAAAGTTCATGCCAGTGGTCAGGACCTAGTTAATAAAGTTGAGAAATTTATTTATTTGGTGGCACAAACCAAGGCCTTTCTAATTGATGGAACCAGCAAAATACACAGAGCCTAGATAGTGACTACAAAAAAGCCTTGGGTTTCAGGTTGAGCAACACGAGACAGCTTTTAAGACCTGTTCATAGTTGTGTTAATAATGTACCTACAGACTATATTTAACTCAGTGTATTAGCTCTGCTTACTCAAAGACTTATTTTTGAAATGGATTTCATCACATTTTTTACCAATGCCACCTTCTATCATGCAGTTGAAACAAAATAACATTGACCACATACATTTGTGCATCACCTTGTGGTTTTCAGAGCACACTCACATTCCTTTTCCCATGGGTTAGGCAGAGATTCCTACACAAACACCAAGCTCAGGTTAAGTGCCTGCCCAGTTATCACAGACCACTCTCTAAGGGCCAGTCAAACCTGGACCTGGGGTTGTCTGACTTCTCAGTCAGAGGCAACAACTTAGGCAAGTTGCAGGACTCTGCACTTCAGTTTCCTCCAAGGGAAATAACTCCATACTAGGGAGAACTAAACGAGATGAAGGTAAAAAGGACCGGCAACATTTGGCGCTTGAAAACTGCTCAGTAAATGTTAGTTCTCATCCTACGCCCACATTTTCCACTGCACTCCCTAGAGGTGCCCACTTTCCGTGCAATGCTAGGGCTCCTCTGGCATAGTCCTGGACCCGGCCGCACTCACCATTGTGATCGGCATAGCCCCACTCCTTGGCCATGGTCGTCTTTCTCGGCGCTGGATGGCTCCTGCCTTCTCTTCCCCAGCGTCGCGCAGAGTCCCCGCGAGCCCGCGCCTTTTATACAGGTCCCCCCAGCACGCTGCATGGCCTTATTAGGTCAGCGAGGGTGGGGCGGGGGGCTAAACTGGATGGGGTGGTATTTGGGAGGCGGGGTGGGGGAAGCCAATGAATTCCAAGAGCTGGACAGCTGTTGGGGTGAGGGGAGTGGAGGTGGAAGAAGGGACACCCAGCCCCTCCTTTCCCTCTCCCTGGAACAGGAACTTTGGGCCCCTTCCATCTCTCCCTCCCGCCGACGTGCAGAAATACAGGCGGCTTTCGCCTGATCCTCCCTCCCTCGTCCATGCGTTTTTGGGGGTGGGATGGACAGGGATGGGGTGTTGTAGCTGTGCTTAGCCACCAACTAAAATCTGCATCCCAGCGGCTCTTGCAGCCTCACTTACAAGTTGCTTTCAGCGCAGGCTGGCGGTCTGGCTGCGGTCTGCGAGTTTATTTCGCTCCAGCGATCGGATTACGGTGGCTGGAAAGAACAGGTTTGTTTGCCTGACCCATGTTTGACTCCCTTACAGACGACACGTAAAATCCTAGGAGCAAAGGATGGGGGAAAAAGAGGCCGGGAGGGCAGGCTCTCTAAGTCGGTTATCTGTAAAGAGATTGCCCTCTCCCTGGAATCGCATCAGGCGGCATTTCCCAACCTAAGCGTGTCCGTTTGGTCTGCAGGAAGCCGAAGGCTGGATCTCAGCGCCAGGAATCTGGGAGATGTCTGGATCCCAGGTTCATGCAGAGCAGGAGACTGGAACTGATTTAGCCACACTCCATGCGCTATACCTCTGCTCACGAAAAGTTGAGAATATTCTGAAGTATTGCAAGACTTCTAACATAAAATGAGTCATATTGCTTGCAACACATGATCTTCGTTTCCAAGACATAATGAGAGATTGGAAGAAAAGGAAGACGAAAAGGTTTACAGAATGGCTTATTTTTTCTCCCCCTCCTGCTGTTTTATAATGTAATGAACCATGCAAAAGGAGAACAAAACTGGCATATCCAGTGTGTGGCAAAAGAAAATTTTAAATGTCTGGTTATAGCTCACATAGAAGAAGTGAGTGTAATAGATATTTACAATTCTAAAACTATATTGTAAAATTTCTTCTGTTCTAAATCAGTAATATTTTTTTAAAAGACAATGAGGAAAGAAAAATCTAATTTTAATGTTATTTAAGCAAGATTTCAAATATATATATTTCCTTACTTACTTTGACTTTTATCGATAATAGTATTTTGTATTTGGGGATTACAAAACTTGAAAGGAAATCGCTCATCATGGCAAAGATAGCTCATCCCTAAGGCGTGTGGAATGACTGACCACACTCATAACCTGGGCGCCAGGGTAGTCATTCCCTAGGCTATTTTTGTGGATTGTTTGATCCACACAATAGCAGTGTGGAATCAGGAACCGAAGCAGTTTGGAAAACACTGCAAACAAATGCCCTTAAACTCTGAGCTCAAATATGTCACCATTTGATCAGAAAGTCTGCAGAGTTGGGATGCCTGGGCCAGTTTTCTACTCTATGCAATAGAATGGTACTGCAGTTTGTGGTTAATGGAAACATTTTATATTTCTTATTTAGCATATAATTATTGTGTGATTAAACCATAATCTCATTCCAATCTATTCAACTGTTAGAATATCTCTTTCTCTGGTACCTGTGGTTAGATGATTGGTAAATAAATGTCATGTCATTTGATATAATAGTAACATAGATAAGGTATTTAATAATTTCTTTATACCAAGAACAATCTAGGAATTCATCATATTGTTATTGCTTATGCATAGAGGAGCTTTTTTTGTAAAAGACTATTTATAATTAGAGAATGTGCACAAATGGCACATAATTTCAAATAAATGCTGGGTCAAATTTGCAAAGTGAAATATTTAATAGCTTTAGATGTGGCCTTAAAAATGATGATTGGTATTTTCATCATGCTTTCTCTTAAGAAGTTAATAAAAATTGTGATTTCAAGATAATTTATATATATGAAATATATAAATATAAAATGAAATATATGTCTTGATAAGTTATGTAATATTAGACCTAACAGTTTTTTCAGAAACCTCATCTGAATTTATCTGCAAATACATTTTCAAAAATCTCACCTGCAAATTAGTCTTCTGCATCTTCATTGATTTACTCCAGCATATTTACCTATAAATTTCAGAATTCCATATCAACGAAGAAGTAATTCTAAATTGTGTTCAAGACTTTGAGATTTCTGGAGTTGGCTTAAAAGGAGAACTGTTAAGTGTACACTGAGATAAAAAATGCCAGAAAAAAGAGCAAGCAATGATTAACTATAAATTATCTCCTAGCATACTGATAGCATTTCTCCCAGTACCATTATTAGAATGTTGATGCATTGGGCAATTTGTATGATTTTTCCCCAAAAATGAGTGTACATATCTAACTGTGGGGAGAAAGAAAAGAACAACCAAGAAGGAAAATATTTGGGTGAACAATAGGTAGGGAAGGAGTGTCCGAATATGAAGTTTCAACTAAGGTAGTATGTTAAAATTAAGAACTTCAAAGATCTAAGGTGATAACATTTAAACATGTTTTATTTAGGATTTAGCATCTTATTTTGCTACACACCAGGTAATATAACTAACTCAGATCTTGTGCAAGTCAATACCATTTAGTGTTTCTATTGTGTCAGGAAAAAAATAGAAATTTGCCTACTTATTCACATCTGATATCAAAGCATAAATTGGGATTGAAGTGATTATATCATTTCACTTAAATAATTTATATATTATAGAGGCATGTATTTTCTACTACATTTTCATTTTCATAAAACAAGTTCTGGGATAGAAATATGAAAATGGCTAATAAAAATTAAAATTTTTAATTAATATACTTAACTGTCATAAATAACGTAACTTTTGCCTTCCTCCCTGACAATTTTTTTCCCACAGCTTGACTAACAATCTTCTATAGGAACATGATAGTCCCAACTCCTGAGTGTGTCATCACCAGTGACAGCTGGGCCATTTGAATCAGGTCTTAAATTTTGGCTCTTATTCATGGCAAATTTGTAGCAGAGCAGCCTGAGGCCCTGTCCCAACTGGTGTCTCTCACTGAAATGTAACAATCTAAGATAGTCACATTATTTGAGAGTGGGAGCATGAATTCAAAGATGAAGACCCCCAAATCTATGTGGTAAGATTTGATCATCAGGGTCCATAAGTTCAAACTATTTTATTTCAAATGCAAATTCTTCTTTTAAAATACAATAATAGCATCTTAAATGGAAGAAAACACATTACACTTCATGATTTTTTCTGAGATTCACATTGAGATGCTCAAGTCTGATTTTCAAAAACTTAATGATGGTATTTCATTATAAAATTAACAAGTGGAACTTTGTTTTATTTTGACCTTTCAGAAGAATTTAGGTGGCCATTTGCCTAAATTTTTCTTTGACCCCAGACACCTCACCTGTGAAATGAAGAGAATGGTGCCCCTGTAGAGTCTTGTGAGGTTTAAATGAAGTAATTTATATAAGGCACTTATGACAACATAGGCCAGTGTAATTAGCACTTAGCAAAGTTAACACCTTTATCTGGCCTTGTTCATTTGGTGTTTCTCTCTGGGCAATCAGCTACCCTAAATGATCCTTGTTCCTTGTTGGCCATAAACAGTACCTTCTGTGCATGTTGCACAGAAGCAAAGCACAGGTGCTAATTCTCAGACACCACTTAAATGAAGAACATACCCTGCTTGCTTAGGATAAAAATTGATACCCACAGGATTCACCCTTTCCTTCAACTCTTTGAGCTGCTTGACCTAATCACCAGTTGAACCTTCCCACAAGGGGAGTCAAAGTAAACCTTTTAAACCATATGTGACCGGTCATGCACAAGATGCATTGATCTAACAAAGTTAACTGAAACTCATAGCACTGTAATAAGAAATAAAAAATCATGAAATTCCTACAAAGCTTAAAATTTCTTTGGCATATTATTTCATGAGCAGGTATTTTTTAATTTGTACAAATGTACGTGGTACATGTGCAATTTTGTTACATGCATAGTGGGCAAGTCAAGGCTTTTAGGGTTTCCACCACCTGAATAACATACATTATATCCATTAACTAATTTCTCGTCACCCCCTCACCCCCTTCTGAGTCTCCATTGTCTATCATTCCATTCTCTACCTCATGAGAACATGTGATATTTGATTTTCTATCCCTGGCTTGCTTCGCTTAAGATAATGACAGCCAGTTCTATCCATGTTGCTGCAAAAGGCATGATTTCATTCTTTTTCATGTCTAAATAGTATTCCATTGTGTAAATATACCACATTTTCTTTATCCATTCCTCCACTGGTGGACACTTAGATTGATTCTATTTCTTTGCTATTGTGAATAGCGCTGTGAAAAACATTCAAGTGCAGGTATCTTTTTGATATATTGATTTATTTTCCTTTGAGTAGATACCCAGTAGTAGGCTTACTGGATCAAATGGTAGTTCTATTTTTAGTTCTTTGAGAAGTCTCCATACTATTTTCCAAAGAGGTTGTACTAATTTACATTCCCACCAACAGCGTATGAGAGTTCTCTTTTCTCTGCATCTTTGCCAACATCTATTATTTTTGTCTTTTAAATAAACGCCATTCTGACTAGTGTCTGATGATATCTCATTGCGGTTTTAATTTGAATTTCTCTGAAGATTAGTAATGTTGAGCATTTTCTCATATACCTGTTTGCCATATGCATGTCTTCTTTTCAAGTGTCTATACATATTCTTTGCCCACTTTTTGGAACTTTACTGAATTTGTTTATCAAATCTAAGAGTTTTTTTCATGGATTTTTTTAGTTTTTTCTAGATATAAGCTCAGGTCATCAGCAAACAGGGATAATTTCACTTCCTCTTTCCCATTCGGATACCTTTTCTTTCTTTCTATTGCCTGATTACTCTGGTGAGGTCTTCCAGTACTATGTTGAATAGGAGTGATGAAAGTGGACATCCTTGTCTTGCTCCAGTTCTTAGAAGAAATG